AGCTTTGCCAGTGTTCTATTGTATTCTTTGTTGAATCCTAGCCAAGATAAACAAGTACATTCCACGGATGCAAAAGATTTGCTACTTATTCAATATGAGCAAGACCTTTTTTATTTTACAGATGAGGATATTTTTCCTCTCAGCTATGAAATTGTGATATGTTAATTAAAAGATATTGTTATTTAAGAAACAGGAAACTTTTGCCTGTTTCTATCGAGTTATAGAAACACAAGTGGACATTCAGGAGAATGAGAAATGCTGTGGGAACGCAAGTCGACAGGCAAGTGTTTCCACAGCTTTTTAGAGTTCTCCCAAACTCCCACATGTGTTTCTATAACTAAAAAAAAATGTACAAAAAGAACGTTTTCTATTTCTTTGGGAAAACACTGTGAGAAACAGCATTTGATTGACTATCAAAATGTAAATTCTCTATACCTGCGCCATTATTTCCTTAATGGTGCAACTTTGAGAAGTAGGTCTTTTACCACGTGTTTCTTACTGGGTTTTTAACACTATTATCACTATATTACAAGTAGTACTGCACAAACCACGTACGATCAGCACTTGCACTACGTTGGATCAAGGTAAATCACGACCAGACCAAAAAATAAAAAATATAGAAACTAAACGTTGCCTTAATATAAGGACCACTTTTATAATTAATGAACACAGGTGGCCTATTAACAACACCTAGTTACACACCCACTACAGAGTCACAACACTTCTTTTCTAATAATCACAGAGAAAATGGTTTAATCCTCATACCAGTCTAGAAAAAATTAAGGCTAATTGTGATTATATAAGAAAGGCTGGTGTTGGACAGCCGAAATATTGTATTCACACCTCTCACATTGTTTGCTCCACCTTTAATTTGCAGCATTCCTCATAGTTACTACATTACAATTAAATTATATTAGAAAGACTCCTTTTCTTGAGAGTGATTTATTCAATTACTATTAACATATTTTTTTCAGGCTTTATTCTAACAACTGCTTAGTTTGTAAACCAAACTGAGGTGATCTGCCATGTACATAATATTGCTGAATTATTGATCATTTTGGCAAATATTGTTTTAACATTTTAATATCCAGATTTAAGTTTAACAAATTATATTCATATAGCTGATGGATGTTAGCAGTTTAAAATACATGATGTAAAGATCTGCTAGGTTAAACAAGACTTTTAGGTAGCATGTCTTTGTTTACAGGCTATCTTTTGAAAACATCTGAGTGCTAAGAAGCTCAGCCACCTTCAATTCAATAAAAGCTATGTAATACCTGTAAAGATATCTTGCAGAGTGTTAGTTACATCCTCTTCACTACACTGTTTAGGTGCACAGATCCCCCAATGAATAGGCAATAACTGGATAGTAGAGGAAAACAAAACAGCAAGAAGATATGTATTAGATCCTAGCATTTTTATGCCTGATATAAAAGCAATCATAGTACAACTAGATAAGAAGAGTTAAAATATCTTTCCAACATCCCAAAGCCAAGCAGTTTACAAATACTGAGAGTAATATGGGTATGTCTGGTAATTTACCTAAACACAAAGTGTACACCTTATGCATTCTGCGGTGCAATAAGGACTGATTATTAATGATGATGATGATGATGACGATGACGACAAAAACAGCAATAGTGGTGATGAGGATGAGGAGAGAGTAACTAATGTGCAAGCCTGTGAGACGGAGATGTGAGTGTCAAGTCTATCATTATGAGCCACTTTTTTTTTGTTTTTTTTTTTTCAGGCTAACCAGATCAGAGCACTTCTTAAAACCAGAGTGCTATCTTTAGGGTTTTATTGTGTGTTTGCCATGATATGACAAACTTTTGTAAGGAACACTACTAACAACACCTGCAACCTGCAAGAAATATGTGCTTGTTTCTGCCTTTGCTGTACATTAATTCATACATACAAAGTATGTGGATTGCTGGTAATCTCCTAGGAGAATATTTAGCAGATATTTATTGTTGTTATCTACTGACTCGCAGCTATTCAATCCACTATAAATGTACATATTGAATTATGCTATGTCAAAAAACAAAATATCATTTTAAGGGACACAGTCAGCTTTGGTTAAAACAGTATGGATCGCATCTCTGTGACAAGCAAATTAGCTATGAAATGGTATCTAATGCACATGCACGCCAACTGACTGTGTCCCTTTAAGGTGAGAGAGAAAAGAAGGGATAGTCTGAACTACTCACCTCAGTGATATTGACAGCAGGAACTTTGATATAAGCCAAGCAATAATGAGCATTTACAATGGACTTAGTGCACTCACTGTAGGATCCTAACCAGCCAACATTGCCAATAAAAAGTCCACTTTGAGGTTTGCCAATAGCATCTAGATCTGAAATTTTTAATACAATCAATATTAAATTTTTCAAAGAGAGAGAGAGCTTTAAATTAAAGGGATGGCAAATAGTCAAAATGATGTGTCATAGCTATTAGTAGCAGAAAAACACAAAAATGTTTTTCCAAGTTATAGGCATGGGATTTTTATCCTGGGAGTTCCAGGTTTTTTGAAGACAACACAAACATATTCAAAGATTCCCAATGACATCCAAAAACATCCTTAGATGTCCAAAGTCTTCTGAAAAATTTGCATACAATAGCGGAAGCAGAATTCAACAGCCCTGACATTTCCCATTCCCAGTCTCAGGACGTGTATCGCTAAATGCGACCTCACTCCCAGTGCTTTCAATTTGAAGAAGGAAGTATCGTCATTTACACCTAGTTTTCTTACATCGGTTTGAGTTAACATATTTTTGGAAATTGTGTCAAGCAAAGCTGTAACCATGTGAAGTATATATGAAATAATTCATATTTGAACTGCGGTAGTAGATGAAAGTGAAGTATGATCATCGCAGTAAATTTTCCAATTTAAGCAACTGGAAAGAAGAAGCCTGAAAAAAATCAGGGCTTCAACGGGATTCGAACCCGTGACCT